ACTCGGCTCAACTTGAACAGATCTACTGTTAAAAGTGAATTCTAGTGATATTTAAGTATTCTTTATATGCTGTGATAGTATTTAATATTTGCTTTAATTTTTTGTTTCCATTTCGAGTTTTCATTTCTTTTTTTCTCATCATAATTGTTATTAGTTTTGAAAAATATTTCTTTATATAGCTTCAGTTTTTGTCATTCAACTTACCATTTCTCACTACTATATAACTTGCTATTTCTGTTCTGGGTTTTTGTTTATAAATTTCAGTTGTTCGTCTAATGTTAATATTTAATCATGATAACATATTTTATATAGTTGAAAATTTGTTTAACAATAAGTGTACTCAGAAATTCCTTGTAAAATTGTCCATGCTAAATATTGGATCAGGAAAATGTGCATTATTCATCCATCTCTATGTATTCCTCACTACCTTGCTGTGAAAGGTTTCACTTACAATAGTGTCTTTGACAGGTTCGTCCAGTGTGGAGAAATCATTGTCAGCGTTCTGCGAGCCCACTGGCACAGATATATCTCCCTCCACAGGAATGTCCTCTGAGATTGAGATGTCTGACAAACCAGCAAACTGTGAAAAGAATCACTTGTTAAATCATTCATGGCAAATCCAGATACTCAAAACACACATTAGACTCTGCTCGCTCGTGTCCGTTTACATCACTGATTCCCCAAATAAGATCTGTACTGGTTTTACTGTGTGCCCGAGCTGTGTGATCACCTAAAAATGACAACTTACTAACCCGTCTCCAGGAAATATTATAGAAGGTTTTTACCTGAATCCATGGTGGTTCACAAAATGCAAGTTAAAAAATTGACACTCTTTTAGGTGTTTTGAAAATAGCTGATAGGTGTGTCAAAGAAACTGAACATTGATTACCCCCATTCACAACAGTCTGGAATGCAAACCTCCTGTCACATAATGACGTATGTTCAGATACAAACACACATGAGCTGTCAGTGTTTGTTTACAATGGAAAGGCGGAAGTATATTTTGCTGTAATTTTCTGTCAAACCACAAGTGTAGTTGCATCCCAAAGAGCACACTCACACTGTGCACTTATGCACTTGTACACTCAAGCGTGCATTGTCTGAGTTTGGGCTGCACAATATATCGTTTGAGCATTGATATCGCAATGTGCGTGTCCGCAATAGTCACATCGCAGGATAGGCAATGCTGAGTTGGAATTGTAGTTGGCCAGAAACCATAGGTCAAAACACATGAGATTTGTGGACCCTGCAGAATTTAACCATATTACAGTAAAAGTTTATCATCTGCATGTTTTAATTAAGGCCTGTGACTGCGTGAACATTTTAAGAGTTTAAATCATTTTAGTAGCGCATAAAGAACTTTAATAATAATTAATTGAATTATTTATATGAACAAGACTATGCAATGTTATTTGATATTTAATTATTGCATTTCTGTACCTGAATACTGTTACTCTCTCCAGAAAACCATGCAGCACTGTTTATTTGAGTGCAATATTTGCTTGTATATTATATTATATATTGTACTTTGTTTTTTAAAATGTATATAATAAACTACATTAAATTTCACTTCCCTACAAAACCCTTCCAAACAATCTAAAGTAATAACTTACGAAATATAGCTATTTAAATCATCTGGTGAAAATTAATTTATATCGCAATATATATCGCAGAAAAAAATAAAAAACAAAATTTTTCCAATATCGTGCAGCCTTAGTGTGAGTTTAGGGTCATCCCATTTAATTTTTTTTGTATGTATTCGCTAAACTGAAAATCAAAACATTTCCCAGACAAAACTACCAAATGTATGCATTTATGTATGTATGTATGTATGTGTGCATGTATGCATGTTTGTATGTATGTATGTATGTATCTATCTATCTATCTATCTATCTATCTATTTATCTATCTATCTATCTATATATATATACACACACACACACACACACACACACACACACACACACACACACACACACACACACACACACATACACATGTACATACATAAATACAAATACATATATAGTCATAAGATAAATACATAAAGAATCATAAAGGAATAAATAATGTAATGCAATCTCAGCACGAACTAGCTTTGCCCCTTCTGCTACATGAGCAAACCTGTGACCGTTGAGTAGGCATGGGCGGGTATAAGATTCTGATGGTATGATATCCTTGGATACAAATATCACGGTTTCACGGTATTGAGATTACTGCTTTCAAACATACGCTTTTTAAATGTCTGGGTAAGAAACTAAAACTTTTTCCCCCTTTGAACACAATTTTTTTTTTCTTTTGAAAAACATTTAAAATATTTTGTAACAGTAAACATGTTACATTAAATAATTCAAAGTTAAATAACTTCTGCTGTCTTCATAAGTTTCTAAATTACATATTTCTTTTTTTAAGATTAAATAAATGCATCATCTAGGGATTTATTGTGCACTTATTATTTTTAGAATAAAAAGAATATTTCAGTTGACTGCACTACTTACACTATTTATACTACAAAATGGCGTATAATAGAAGTATGTGATTTGGGACGCACCTTCTATTTATGCTTTCATGCCAGGTAAAAGGGGAGCATTGATGAAGGTCAAACAAACTTTTTGACTGTGTTGGACTCTATTTATTATTTGCTTTTTGGTTGATCAAAGAAATGGAAAAAATTGGATTGGAATATGCAACAACTGTTTTACAAATTTATGAACATCACATTTTGTTATCGATTTGTTCAAGAAATGAAAGCGTCAAAACTATTGATCCAGCAAATCACACCTACAGTATGTGTCACCAGAATGGTTCTTGCGCTTTTCCTGGATGCTGCAGACATGATCTTAATGGTGAAGACTTTTCACAAATTTTCAATGTTTGACTTACTTTACATCCTTATGTGACTGTTTGTGGAGGGTTGATTTAGGGTGATCTTAGGGCTACACAATTAGTCAAAATGAAACAGTAATTGTAATTATTAATCAAAAGCTATTATCAAGTAATAAATGACATTTTAAGAAGTGATGGCCTACTCATTTCACATCCACCAAGAAAAACCTAGACAGGAAATTGAGGTATAGTAGTTCAGTGACAATTTGTGACATGCTCCCTATATTGTTTACCAATGTATTTTGAATATTCTGTTTGAAACCACGTGCAAGTATGACTTCTAAACAACATTAGCACTATTTACATGACTGTGAACAATGTTGTACTTTTATAGTCACTGGCTGCTAAAGTGATTTCACTATTTAGACTTTACAAATAATAATTTTCTGAAATTATATTTTAAGGAGAAAGTCTGAATGTGAGAATACAAAACCAACTGTACCTCAATGCAAACAAATGGCAAAGAATAGCAAATCAATAACTTTTTAGCAAAAACTTCCGAAGCAAACTAAAACCTCAACTGTATCTAACAAGCTAACGTACAGTGCAAAAAATTAACAGCAAACAGTGTAAACACCTCTCTTATGAATTCTACCGTTAAATGAGTAAACTAAATTGATTGATAACAGTTATACGGTTTCTAGATTGGGATGAATCTGTCAGATGAATCTGTTTAGACTCGCAAAGTGAATTGAAGAATATGTGAAATCTTTACAGAGACAGAGAGATTGAAACAGGCGCGCGTCATCAGCTTCAGACAGCAGACGCAGATGCTCCTATCACTGTTTACATAGTTTTGTAACGCAAAAGGATGAGACAAGAACTCCCGTTTTCCACAGAAAGCAGCAAATCTGTCAATACGTACTGATGTTCAAACAACTCGTTTAGGCTAGTCACTGTTCTGTTGAGATGAGAAACGACCATCTGCAGTTAGCCTAACATGAATTACCCCAGCAGAGCCTTATTGACAGATTTACACATTTCCAAGATTTCATTTAAGGCCAGTATCCACACTGACAACAATACAATATCGGTGGAAAAGCTGACACCGTGTTTTAAAGGTGTAAAGGTTGTTTAAAGCATGTTTTGTCTCTTACCAAAGGCTTGTTTGAGTCCTCCGCTTCCGCCATCTTTACACGGATACGGATACGTCATCAAACATGTGACGTCAAAAACGCCAACGAGCCACTTAACAGATAATAATAATAATAATAATTATTATTATTATTACTATTATTATTGTTGTTATTTTTATTATAGTATAAAATTAACGTTTAAAAGTCGAATTAAATTTTTAAAAGATTTGATAACTGATTAATCTGAAGTATATTAAATTCGGTTAGTTCCTTATTATTATTATTGTTGTTATTATTATTATTATTTATAATATTGTTAAGTACAAATATTTTATCAGCACATAAGCAGAACCGATACACGCTATATCAATGGTATTTTGCCCTTTTGTAAATGCATTTATATTGTGAATCATAACAATGCCTGTCTCTTTAAGGGTTAGAGTCAGTGTGAATTTCGAAATACAGTTTGCAGGTAGCATGACATCTAGCACCATTTTGATGTGTAAAATAGGCGAGGCTTAGTGGCCCGGAAGCTGTCGTCAATTAAAAAACACGACAGATCTAAATAACATTTTTTATTTAATTTTAAATGTTCCCTGTTTATTTAACTATTGCATTTAGTCAGTGCCAATTTTCCAGGTGTAATGCTGTAGTTTAACTAATGGCTGATGTAGAACTTCAGTGGCATGTCACGTTGCATAGGTTACTTTCCTCAGCGCTGCTTACCATAAACCAATCATCGTCGCTCATGCGTGTCAGATCCTAAGATTGTTAGTTATAAATCTATTACAAATGTCAGAGGTGCGTTTTCATTTCTTTTTATTTAATCATTAATTACAATTCATAGATTTGAATGATTATAATTTTCACTGCATAGATGTATGCACTCAAACAAAAGACATGTTTAGATTTGAACGCAGCTCAATGAAGAATTTCCGTTTGTGAGCCCCCGCGCGCCCCACACAGGAAGACTGCGGTTGTTTCATATACAGTTTTAGCGGCCAGTGACATTTACCGTCCAATGATGTGGGTGTACTCAGTATGTAGCCCTGCCCGCGTTCGTCAGTCCCTCCGCTCCCAAAACAAGGAAAAGTATAGAAACAAATAGTTTCTTTATCAGCGCTTTTAAGTTTTACTTTGCCACTCCATTTGCGCGACCGAATTAGTTTTATTAGGAAAAGCGCGCGCACCCGGACACCGTCACCACCGCAGCGCTGGATTATTGTTTTTTCCACAACTGCACATCACATAGTATGTCAAATATGGGGAACTTTATTGTAATCTGTTAACTGAAATTTTAATTAATACAGGCGAGCGATCATAGTGCAGGTGTGTCGTGGTTTTGTGTACTTTGCCGACAGCAGAAGAGCAGTTATTCTTCACTGAGACTGAGAATGGGGCATCCTGCACTGGAGTTCAGCGACTGTTACTCCGACAGCCCCGATTTCAGAGAGAGATTGAAATGCTACGAAAACGAGCTGGAGAAAACCAACAAGTTCCTAAAGGATGTCATCAAGGACGGGAACAATGTGATCAACACGTTTAAAGGTAATCTCACAGCGACAATGATGATGAGGGTCTTCTTCGCAGGGGGAGGCGGATAAATGGATGGAGGTCTCCGCCTTTGCAAAAACCGATCAAATGACCGAATGAAAACGCAGGGACAGCCAATGCTTGTGTTTTGATCAAGTTTGTGTCTTTAGGCTTTCACTTGCAGGTCGCTGGTCGGTTTTAAGGGGGATTATGAATTGCGGAGGGGAGGGTGATCTGGCAGATGGTGCGCGGCTTTTGGAAGATCCCCCACTCGGGGCGGACTAGAGATGCTGGCAGGAGCTTTTAGGAGACGCTTGATTTATTTATAGCGGCCAGGCACCTTTATTTTTCCAGATTAGTAAACGGAATTGAACTGGAAAGTTTAGAGATGAGGTGTGAAAGTATCAACAAGATGATTGAGGGTTGAAGGAGAGCCCAGGAATCATGAAGCCGGATGCTATCACTATCAGCACTTAGCAGCACTATGCTGTTCTCATACAAGACACTGTGCATCCTCGAGTTAAAGGAGAGTAAAAGAAAGAAAGAGAGAGAGCAAGAGAAAGAGATGGAGGTGGTAAACCAGCATTCAGAGAAGCAGACATTACACACACACACACACACACACCAACCACAAAAGCTGTTATGTCTCTCTTCCTCTTTCCTCTTCTGTTGTTTGGCTTATCTTTAAAGTGTTTTGAAGCAACAAAACGCAATTGGTAGGTTTCCAAAATCCCAGACTTGATCAATCTCTTCTCAATAAAGCAGTTAAAGACAAAGAAAGTGTCACTGCAGTGTAAACAGAATATTTTGCCTTAAAACATTGTTATAAAACTGATTTTTAAAAAGTAGATTATCCTTCTTTCAATAACATCCGAACCATAAATCCTGCATTGTACTCATTTGGGCTGCTGTACTGTCGCAGGCATCAGCAAAATGACAATGACACAATTAGGCTTGGGCCGGTTTAAGATTCTGACGGTATGATAACCTTGGATAAAAATAGCATGGTAACATGGTATTGTGATTACTGCTCTAAAATATGTTCTTTTAAAATGTCTGAATAAAAAACAACAAAACATTTTCCCCATTGAAAATTATATACCTTCATTTATTTTAAAAACACAGATTACTTTACAATTAAAAACAGCATTTTGGATATTTTTTCTGCTGGAGATACTGTTGTCCTAAAAAGCTTTAAAAAAAAAAAAGTAAATAAAAAATCATAAACATACCTAAGTAACGGGATTACAGAAAATTTTCACGGTTTTAAAACCTTGACTTTTCCAAACCACAGTATACCTTGAAAACGGTTATCGTCCCATGCTTAGACACAACACCAGGTTGGGGCTTCGCTACTGTGGTGTTGGTGTAAAACAATACTACACAGCCTTGTTTTAAGTAGGCAGTAAAAGTTTTAAGTTAGCAGTTAAAAAAAGCATTTACCCTCACAGAACGCTGCATCTTCTCAACAAGATGGTTTCCTGGGTCTGTGTGTGGAGCAAGAATACGAGAACTGTTCAAGTGTTTCATGTCAACGTCAATATGAATCAGATTTAAAAATTATTTCTGTTATGGAAACTTTGCAGCATGTTTTCATTCACTTAGGGCTGTTATACACCCTGCACGAAAAGTCATTTTCAGAAATCTATTGTAGGGGCGCTTTAACTGCTTTCTGCACTGTAAGAGTCAAATGTACTGTCACATTATGTCATGAATCATAGGAAGTCTAAGAAAATCTGACTGAGATCACAACTGCAATCTTACTTTTTGTATAGGCTGCAGCAGCCAGCAAAAGCATAGATACCGTTATGTTTAAAAATACAACGCTACTCAACTTCGTGACATATGATCAAGACATATGAGTTTACATGCGCTTTGTTTGTTTGTGTTTCATGAACATGTTCAAAATTATTTGCACTGTGCATTTAATAATGTAGTAAAACATTAACATAATGTAAGACATTAACATAATGAGAACTGGGTCAGTTAGCATTTCTGTGTGGAGTTTGCATGTTCTTCCCATGTTTGTATTGGTTTCTTCTGGGAGCTCCGGTTTCACCCATAAGTCCAAAGGCATACGCTATAGGCGAGTTGGGTAGGCTAAATTGTCTGTAATGTTTGGATGTTTTCCAGTGATGGGTTGCAGCTGAAAAGGCATCTGCTGCATAAAACATATGCTGGAAAAGTTGGTGGTTCATTCCGGTGTGTTTTTAGAACAGCAATTCCTTTAGTGATAAGAACCTGAAATCAGTAGATCTATAATATAGTTATTACACAACACACACACAGGTTTGTTTTTTGTGATTTGTTGGGACAGTCCATAGGCGTATTGGTTTTTATACTGTACAGACTGTATTATCTATCACACTGCAGCAACCCCAGGGAAGTTTGAGCATTCTTACTTTCTTAAAATGCTAATGTGTAATATGATTTATACCCGTTTGACAATTAATCGTTTCGCAAAACCAATGTCATTACAAATATCTTTCTTTATGCGTCACAAAACTATGCACATGCATACACACACAATATGTACAGTAGTTAACATTTGAAGTGGATCAGAAAAGTTCTTCAACATTGTCTTAAGATCATTCAAAACACATGGTTTTAGGACAAAGTGTTGAGCCACCTAAAAAATTGACAAAATATTATAGCTGTCAATGTTTTAAGTGCACAGCTTATATGAATGGAAATATATGAAGAATTTAAAAAAGAAATATGATTTTAAATGAAAGAAATGCAATCATAAAACCCCCAAAAATTCTATTAATATAATGGGAAAAATTTTTTTTATATCATAAATAGTCATTAATATACACTGAAATCATGAAATAAATCATGGGGTGCTGCAACTCTTGCAATAAATAAATACGAAACTTAAACAAGAAAATTTTAAAACAAAAAAACCCAATTGTGCCATTAAAATCAAAGATGATTTGGGGACATGATTTGGCCAATTAGAGATCAATTTCCATTTGCATATCACTGGCTAAATATTGTTGGAATACTTTACAGTTGGTTTTCTGTCATAAATGTTTTTGATGACTCAGCTTTAATTTATCTCCTTGAGTAGAGCTTCCTTTTCTAATTTCTAGGGAAGTCATAAACGCACTCGTTTTGTAAAAAAAATAAAAATACAGGAAAGCTGATAGTGTTTTTATTTTGCCGGAGGGAGCATGCAAGATTCTAATTTGACTAACCATAAGCCTTGTTCTGTACCTCAGAGTGCAACACTCCAAAAGCAGACTGCTGAGCCATTAAGGCAGATTTCCTCACGGAACTGTGTGGATCACCACTGGCTGTAATTTGATGACTGCAGTCTGCTTTTGGAAGCTTCTAGTGTCTTGGAGGAAGTCTTCAGTGATTCAGTACATAAAGGAGTCACTGGAGCCCACAGTATATTTTCTCCAGGGGTCCTACTATTAAAGTTCTGCAGCTTCTAAAGTCATATGACCTGACTCAGTGTTTTCATTTTGCTTACTTCCTGCATTTATGTAGTTTAGCACTTTTTGGATTTTATCACGGATAGTGTTGTGGATATGAAACCTAAGAAAGGAAGTTGAGCGTTTCCTTTTCTCCGACAATGAGGAACCTCCTCAGTGATCTATTACTCCTGTTATGACTAAACAGAGAACACAATCATGACAGACTTTTAGAAGGATTGAGGACGCTTATATGCAATATTAATCTTAAACAAACATGCTGCCCAACAAATAATGTGAGCCTAGTGTTGAGGCCTGTTATGTTACAAAGGCGTCCATTAGCAGTCATTTCCACACGTTTTTGCACAGCCCGTTCAAACATCATCTGTTTAGTTTTGCAATCTCATTCTGTCATCTGTTTCGACTGAACCAACCAGTTCTCCAGGGTTGTTGTATTATACCAGGATGTTATTCTTAGCGTCAGCTGTGGCATACTAGTTTATAACCTGCAGTGCAAATGGATTGTATTCTTTTTTTCGGTGTGTATAATGTAAAAAAGCTAAAATAGTTATTTTATTTTCGGTCAGTGTGTGTGCTTGTCAGAGTGCCGAACAGGGCGGGTTTTGTGATCTGGTTTGGAGAGTGTGGTCCATCATGCCAGCTCCTCATGCTTTAGACAAACACACTCTTTGTGTCCTTTTCGTCAGAGGGGATATAATAGTTTAAGCCCTTTCCTCTGTTAGCACTGCTCATTTCACACAATGCACATGAAAATATTACAACATTACGCTAACATTTTTATGAGTAAATTGTAAACAAAAATGCAAGAATGCTTTAAATTAATAACGAATATTACGGTAGACACATAAAATGCAAATCAGAATATTAGACTAGATTTTAATGGATCACCTGACACTGGAGAAGTTGAGAAAATTATGGCGGAAATTCTGATTGGCAATAAATTAGTAATAAGAATAAGTTAAATAATGAAAAAAGTATGAAAATAACAAATTTGTAAAATATTGTAGGACTGACTCAGGAATTATGCCCCTATTTAGTGGGACCAATAAAACACAATGAATCAGTTTATTAATTTGTTATCAGCAGCAGTTTAATTTAACCATTGAGTTGCATGGTATCTACAATCATCAAACAAATAAAGCACAAATTACAATTAACACAATACATTCCAATTCAATTCAAAATATTCAATTCAATTCAAAATATTCCTTAGCAAACACTATTTCACCTGAAGTAAAGCATGAAAATAAACCAATAACTCACAAATTCAATCACACAGCAACTCTTAGAAGAAGAGAAAAGCAAATGTGCATCATTTTCAAGCTAATGCTGTCCACACATACCAAAAAGACTGCTAATCAATCAACTGTTTACTGTGAAGGTCTAGCTCCTCCCACAGTAATGCTAGGCCAATCTGGGCCAATAGGAATTCTGTATTCTCAAATAGTTTGGTAACACTTTATTTTGATGGTCCATTTGAGGATTAGTAGACTGTCTGCTTAAAATATGCTGATTAGGCATGGGACAATAACTATGTAAAGGTATGCCTCGGTTTGCATAAGTCAAAGTTTTAAAACTGTCCAAATTTTCTGCTATACCGTTCCTACGGTATTATACCTATATATAAGATTTTTTTTTATTTACATTTTTTTAGGACAACAGTATCTCCAGCTGAAAAGATCTCAGAAGATGCCGTTTTAAATTGTAAAAAAAAAAAAAAAAAAAAAAAAACAGAAATGAAATTAAGACAGCAGAATTATTTAGCCTGACATGTTCACTGTTCTTTCCCAGAGAGGGGTTGCGGCTGGAAGTCATCCGCTGCGTAAAAACATGCTGGATAAGTTGGCGGTTCATTCCGCTGTGGCGACCCCGGATTAATAAAGGGACTAAGCCGAAAAGAAAATTAATGAATGAATGTTAACTGTTACAAAATATTTTAAATGTTTCCCAAATTAAAATATATTTTGTGCAAAAGGGAAAGTTTTTTAATTTAAAAAAAACATATTTCAGAGCAGTAATCTCTAAACCGTGAAACTGTGATGTTTATATCATACTGCCAGAATCTTATACCAACTCTTGCCTACTGCTAATACTGCTCCTTCAACAGACATTTAACTGACTATAAGAAACTTTGCAAGAACATGTCAACTTACATTAACCCTAACACCAACCCAACAGTCTGCTTATAATCTAATGAAAATTTGTTGGCATGTAGATGCATTGTAACTTAAATTCTACAAACGGACCATCAAAATAAAGTGTGACCAATAGTTTTTTCAAAATTCTAATTTATGTATGTATATATACATAAATACAGTATAATACAGTATATAGGGTTCCTGGATATGTCTTCTTTTTTGCATTTCTAAATTTGTATTTGTAAATCTCCTAAAATGTCCAGGATTTGGCATTAAGCTCCTACTGTCATAATTAAGCTATGTTTTTTGCATTACATTTACCCTTCTCTTTAACGCCTCACTTTTGGTTGGTCATGTTCTGTAGTGTACCATACTCAAACACTGGTCAGTGTGTCTCAGTCCCTCAGCACGAAGACATGAGCATTCAGTTCAGCTGAATATTGCACAAGTAAAATTTAAATAATTTTTTATTTTCAATTTCAACTGATATTTGATTTCACTTGAACCTACTGAAAAGAAGCAATGTCATGTTAAAGGTGGTAAATGCACAAACCATTTTTAATTTTTTTTATTATTCTATTTTGGAGGGTCAAAAGTTTATTGGGAAAAAAGGATGTTATTACAAATTCCACAATTTCATGGTTGTGAATGCATTTGTCAAGTATTTACAACCCCTCTCCAACCTCACCTCTATATCCAATCTATTTATTCATAAAAAATAAAATCTGCTAATTATATATTATGATATTTTTTTTGAGCTTTCAATAGTCTGTTTGAAGGCACCCATGATCTAGAGAATTAACTTTAGAAATTTCTGCTTTTCTTTTTTTTTTTTTTTTTTTTTTAAAAGGCCAATGATCAAAACACTTTTAAACCCCAGGTTGGCTTGGAAGAACAACCCAGCTCTGACAATTCTGTGAAACGCTTTGCAAGAATGCATCTTACTGACAGTAGCCTTTACTGCCATGTGTGTGTGTGTGTGTGTGTGTGTGTGTGTGTGTGTGTGTGTGTGTGTGTGTGTGTGTGTGTGTGTGTGTGTGTGTGTGTGCGTGTGTGTGTGTGTGTGTGCTCTGGCATTGAACCTGTGTAGAGAATTGGAGACATAAGTCCATCCTCACCAAGTCCCACAACATCTGATTTCACTTACCAATAAGGCTGCTTTTTTATTTCTCAGAGATTCAGTAATTAATGGCTTTGTATGCTAAGTGGCCCACAACCAAGTAGTGTGGTGAAAGGTTGTTTGCGTTTGAATTTCCTGGCCGTGGTTTGTATTTCTGTCTTCAGTGAAACAGTGAGAGCTGATATAGAGAGTGTTTCATTGGGCCTGGTTAGAGGCCAGAACAGTAAAGATGGAGGAAGATGTAGATGCCCTGCCATTCACTTAAAATGACTTAACGATGGACATTTTACTTGATTGTATACTCTTTAACATAGAGCATGCACATTAGCCTGATTTGAGCTTCAAAGCAAAAAGGTTTAAATGCATTTGTTGCCAACATGCCTTACTTGAATAGAACTAATAGTTGGCTTGGGATGTGGACAGACAGAGTGGACTGGCCGTTAAAGCTGCTAGCATGTGGGGCCCATATGTGAACCGAACAATGTTTTTCCATTGATGCTCTTCATAAGTTGCAATTTATTCTGGCCAAAAAACAAAACCTCACAAGATTAATGTGGATTTTTGATGGTTTTCCCTCTGGTTTTGATGCTGTTTCCAGAGTACTCGCTAGCTGTGCAGAAGTTCTCTCAGACTCTTCAGTCTTTCCAGTTTGATTTCATCGGTGACACTCTGACTGATGATGAGATGAACATCGGTGAGTCAACAGGTTTTAACCTCTTTGGTGTCACGCTCTATTTACAGCTATGGAAAAAATGGGGAGACCACATGAAAATTCTTTGGATTTCTATCTGGATTCATGATTTATAGTACTGAAGACAGTTCTTCTGGATTTAAAAAAGGGAAAATAAAAGTAATTTGGAGATTTTTATTTTTTCTCAGAAAAATTTAATGCTTTCAAATATTTGTGTTTGTGTTTATTTTTGAACCAAACAGTACCAGTGTTTAAATTTCAGAAGACTATAATAAAAATCATCATTTGCTCAATTAACATAAAACCCTCATGTGGTTTTAAACCTTCAAAAGAAGATTTTTTGAAGAATGCTGGTTTCTGGGAATTTGATCACATATCATCAAACAGAAGAAAGAAACTCAAATTGGTTTGTAACAAGTGAAGGATGATTAAATAATGAGAGAATTTGACATTTTGAGTGAACTGTCACTTTAAGAAATCACTATTTGGTGAAATAACCCTGATTTCAGCATAATTCAGTCACTTTCTGAATAAATTATTTTTTATAATTTTTTTTCATAAATCTAATTTTATTTTAAACGTTATTAAACGTTTATGTAATGAAACAACTAAAAATGTTTTACTTAAAACTATATCTAATAAATTCAGTAAGTTCAGATAAACTAAGAATAATGCAGTGGTCATTCATTTTTTCCATACTGTCGCAGTTTTGTCCCATTGTTAATTCACTTTTGTTGTGCAGAGTTGTGTAATATAGTGTGCCACAGTGCAGTTCTGCATATTTGTGCATGCATTTGAATTGTGTGTGTTTGTTTATGTGACCACATGCTTTACCTCCACAGCTGAGTCATTTCGTGAGTTTGCTGGTTTGCTGCAGGACGTGGAAGAGGCCCGAATGATGCTGGTTGGTGGCCTGCATTTCCTTCCATAACCATATAAAACATTGTCAATCATCATCTAAAATTGTATGCAAGTGACACCTGAGATCTTTAGATATGTTAACCATTAACAACCTGCAAGATTGTGTGCATTGTCTACATTTTCCAGTTAATTTTTTTTCATTGAGATGTCTGTAGTTTAAAAATGAGTTATTAGGTTTTTAAGAGCTTCTAAACTTCAAAATTCATCCTCAGATTTCTCTGAGCTTGATTACGGATTGTATCTGTTCAAATCTTGTATAGCAGGAAACTCCAGATTTAGATTAAAACCTACATCCTCATTTCTCAAACGTGTAGAACACACACTTAAGCAATTTATTTTGAGAACAGTACTCATGCACATTCATAACTCAAGTTAAGTGCAAGACAGGACTGAAATAAATACTTGCAGCTACAGACACTTAACAATATTTTTATACACGTTATGAGTGAAGTTACTAAACAATTACTTCCTGCAAAATTTTAGTCAGAGTTAATTGATCATATCGATGTTAAGCATATCGATGTTATGAAATTATGTATTACTAATACATTATTAGAATTACTGTGTATAATTAACCAGTTGTACTGCCTAACATATTACATTGTTACAATTTTTTTATTTATCAAAGATGTATCAAATTAAATTTTTTTTATTTTAATTTTAAGAATTTCTAAATTAAATAAAATCCTAAAAAGGGTCTCATGGTTTCCACATAAATAAAAATAAAAACCTACACCTACTTTAAACATTAGAATAGGATTGTAGAATGAAATATTTCTACATTTAAACAGAAAGTTGAACATATGATAAAATGTCAAAATATTTAGAGTAGACAAGAAAATACATTTCACATATGATAATATGTAAATGACACATTGGCTTACACTGTGTCATAGGAAAAAAACAAGAAAATAGTAATAAAAATTCATTCTATTCCAACATTTGGTCATATAACAAAAGTATAGTATTAAATATATGAATACATTTACATATTGGTTTTGTTCCTCGCCACTGTCACCACTGGCTTGCTTGGTTTGGGATTTGTGGAGCTGCGCATAGATGGATTTGCTCTTCAGTGTTTGGACTTTTAGCAATGAAATTTAAGCCACACTCAACTGAACTAAATTGAAATTCAACTCTGAAAACTAGACTGACACAGTTTCAATTTAATAGAACTTCTGTGTGAAGCTGGTTTGACACAATATTTATTGTAAAAGCACTATAGAAGTAAACATGAATTGAATTTAATATTCATAATTCATCTGCTATTAGCAAGTATGACAAAAATGTGTTACTTGCTATGACAAAAATGTGTTACTTGGTGGCTAGTAGATATTAATCTGCTCCACTGTGCGATTTCTTTACCTCTGACCCCCATATATTGAACATTAGCAAAGACAAGACTTTTTTATAGATACTGTAGAGGCGAGACAAAAATGAGAGAAATAAGTTGTTCTCACCTTCTCACAGTGCCTTTTTTCTCTTGCAGGTTCAGAATGCTTCTGACCTGCTTATCAAACCTTTGGAAAAGTTCAGGAAAGAGCAGATTGGAGTGACAAAAGTGAGTATTACTAGTATACACATTTTCAAGCATTAAGAAGAACACACCATATGCCTATGAATAACTGGCTGCAAACTCATTTGCGCTACTGCTTCCTTTTATATTCAGAGAAAATTTACCACAAAACAAATATAAACATACATAAATAGAAGTTGGTAATTGTGTGTTTGTATGAGCATTCTTATGAAAGTAACACACATACAACTTGACTGGAGTAATGTGTCAGCATCTATGGAAAAACTATTAGTTTTAGAAAGAGTTGCAGAGCTATCATAGCTCCAGAAGGAAAGCGAGATCATTTGTTGGAAAAAAACAGCACATGGAAAGTTTCAAAATTCCTAGGACTTTTCACCAGATTAGGCTCTGTTCACACCAACATGCTTCAGTTAGCAATATTGAAGTATCTGTTTCATTTTAGCAGTATTTCAGTGTGGCTACTGTAATATTATTGGTTGTAAGGAAATGGTTAGAAGTCTGCAAAAGGTTTTACAAGGACAATTTCTGTTTTTGTTTTCATGCAGAATGGCTTTTACAATCTGGAGCACTTCCACTCCAGTTTTTTTGGTCTGTTTTCTCAGTTTTAGATTGTTTGTTGGCATGTCTGTGTTTCAGGAGAGACGAAAGAAGTTTGAGAAGGAAAGTGAAAAGTATTACTCTCAGCTGGACAAGCACGTGAACTTGTCCTCAAAGAAAAAAGAGACACAGCTACAGGAGGTACATATAGTTTTCATTCATTCATTCATTCATTCATTCATTCATTCATTCATTTATTCATTCATTCATTCATTTATTCATTCATTCATTTATTCATTCATTTTTTCTTCGGCTTCCTTTGGCTATTTGTGAGGGGTTGCCAGAGTGGAATGAACCGCCTATATATAGTTTTGTGAAATTAAATAATGCAAAACTATTAGTATTCTATATTTGATCACTTCAAACCATCACAATATCAGCTATAATATTAGATAAAGGACAGTTGGTTGTTAATATGGTGCATAATCCAACGTTTCTCTCTGGGTAAAAATAATTATGCATCTTGCCAAAACAAAACTGTTCAAAATATAGTTTTTCAGACAACTCCACTACTACTGCTTCTACTAATAATCAAGTACTGTATGTTGGTTTGTTGAATTTTAAATGGGTCTAGTTCTTGCTCAATGATAATGATTTAATGATGCAATGGTAAAAAGTTTGCAAATACGAAACATGATCAAACTGGGATCTTTTTCAAAGACTAAAGTATAAATAATTAGGCAATAAGCAGTATTGGTATGAGCTAGTAGTTGTATGTTATGTCCACTCTTACTAATAATATAATCATTGTTTTTGTGTGCTTTTAGGCTGATGAACAGTTGGATAAGGAGCGTCAGGCTTTTTATGAATCGTCTGTTGAATATGTATACCAGATCCAGCAGGTTCAGGAAAAGAAGAAGTTTGATGTTGTGGAGCCTGTATGTGTGAACTTCCTTTTCCTCAAGCACACTCTTTTATTTTTATAACCTTTGTTGTAACAGATGGTTTGTTGTACGATCAAAAAGTCATTTACTGCTGTGTGGATAAAAACAAGAGATAGCACTGCATCTGTTGAATTCATCTTGAAGCAAAGAACGAAGTGATTAGAGCATGTTATGCTAATAGATGTGTGTCTTTATGTGTAATTGACAGGTTTTAGCATTTCTACAGAGCATCCTGACGCTGAATAATCTCACCGTTGAGATGACACAGGATTTCCTTCCATACAAACAGGAGCTTCAGCTCAGTCTACAGAATGTGAGAGCTTTACTGATCGATAATGACTCTAAGCATCCATCCATGTAGATAGATGATGAGATCAGCAGAACGTGAGCCGCTCACTGTGCTGCTCTGCTGGTTTGTCCCTCACTCTGTGCTGTTCAATTTTTTCTGAGTGGTCTATTAGCAAATGCTTTTATCCAAAGTGTTTTTCAGTAAATCTATAACAGTTTATTAGATTGGTGGGGGTTGTGAGCTTGAAAATTAACAGTATTTCACCACTTATTATTAATAAATGCTGATTGGCAAAGTGTTATTTTAATGATTCTTATTTTAAAATATTTGCCATGGGTTTTTATTACTCACTTAATATATTATAAAGCATTCAGTTGTTCCTCTGCTGGTAACTTTGTTGACAAAGCTTTGTTTCCATCCAAGGATGCAAAAAATGCATATTTTTTTTTAAAATCATCATTTCTTGATAAACTGGTGCCAAATATCAATAATAAGAAAAATAGAATTTGCTGTGGGAGAAGCCACAGTTGGCCTTCTTTCTTATATAATGAGTTATTTGTGCTTTAAATGTGTGAATAAAATATAGAAAGGTAGAAAGAATATGTTTTTATTTGTTTATTTTGAAAAAGTAACAAGCATCTTGTCATTTTTATTTAGCATTATTTTATTTATTTTATTTTAACATTTCAAAATGCCCATGAAAACCATTGGAAGGAAACCTAGCTAATGTGCTATTTTTCAATTATTATTATTTTTTTTTGATGAATAGAGGAACAGCATTTTAAAAAATATAAATATTTTGCAACTTTAGTTGCCGTATTTAATTAATTTAATGCGTCCAAAACTGTGGACATGGAACTGTATGCATGTTTTTTGTTTGTTTGTTGCAGACCCGTAACCACTTTGAGAGCACCAGAGAGGAGATGGAAGAGCTAATGAAGAGAATGAAAGGGTCAGCAAAGATCAGTATTAGACATGGCCAGCCTGCGACTATGGAGGGTTACCTCTATGTGCAGGAGAAATGTGAGTCCTCTTTAGTTCTGCATTTTATCTCATCTCTCAGTGCACATAGATGTGCAAGAAATCGAAAACCAATATCTTGGTAGGTAAATGAATCTGAAGGATGAAGCCCATTAAGGTATTGAATTTTTGAGTAAAATTTCCTGTTTAACGGAGAAGATTTTTTCAACACATTTCTAATCATAATACTTTGAATAACTCATTTCTAATAACTGATTTATTTTATCTTTGTCGTAATGACAATAAATAATATTTTACTAGATATTTTTCAAGACACTTCTTGACAGCTTAAAGTGACATTTAAAGGCCTAACTAGGTTAATTAGGTTAACTAAGCAGGTTAGGGTAATTAGGCAAGTTATTGTATAATGATGGTTTGTTTTGTAGACTAAAAAAATATATAGCTTAAAGGGGCTAATAATTTTGTCCTTAAAATGGTGTTTAAAAAAAAAAAAAACGCTTTTATTCTATAAAATAAACAAATAAGACTTTTTCCAGAAGAAAACATATTATCAGACATACTGTAAAAATTTCCTTGCTCAGTTTAATATCATTTGGGAAATATTAAAAAAATAAAACAAATTAAAAAGGGGGGCTAATCGTTTTGACTTCAAACCGTAAACACCATTGTTTCTTTATTCTCATGTCGATCCTGTGAGTGTAAAATCTGAAAATTAAAAAACAAGCCAATCAAACTAAACACTGACTCTGGCATACCACAAGGCATCATTATTACACACACATCAAGCATGCTTATTACACTTACCATATATATTTGACTCTTATTTTAAAAACAAGACCGGCATTATAGAGCTCTTAGGTAATCAACCAAGTATCTCCTCTCATCACAGCTCATCGTCAGAATGCAAAATGCAAGATATACAGATTATTCATTGATTCAGAGGCCCCCAAAGAGGCATAAGGCATGTTTAACTGTAACATTTGTTAGTTTATTGCATACGTTTCAAAGTGCAGCATCAGGCCCTGACAAGAGCTACAGGAGCTATAGAAGACCAGAGCTTATCAATATTCACAACCCTTCCAAATATGGTCAAAACAACCATATCATATTAGGGCAAACTTCTGGGGTTGGAAATGGATTTGTAAAATTATTTCTGGAGAATCTTTACTCTTATCTAAGCAACATACCTTTTATTTTTAAATCAGAGAACAATTAAATCAATGCGTTATATGGCACCTTTAAATCTCATAACACATGTAATGGTTATATTTGCACAAAAGGCTCAGTTTCCTTTATCCAGTGAATTATTTAAAATGTTTGTCATTTATTTTTATCAACTGTGAGACGAGTCATATTTTTAGTCTGTGCTAATCAGCAGCCTGACACAGATGAAGTTAATTGACCTTCAGTTTAAAATAACCCTGAATAATCCTTTTATAATTCAGCCTGTGAGAAATCTTTCTGTGTAAAAGAAAGAGCAGCTAGTAATTGACTGTAAAGGTCAGTTCCCACACAGCGCAAATCTTAATGTGAGTTATGATAGTTTATAAAAGACTTCAAAACACAGCTTTCTCTTGGGTCAAATGCAGCATTCTGCACTTAGATATTTATGTAGATTACAGTGATGCTAAATTGTATAATTTATTGCTGTTGACGTCGGAATTCTTGTAACTGTGCTGGAGTCATGTTTCTATCTTAGAACTCCGCAATCTTCTCACATAATAAAATGATTCAAACACAAATCAATATTTTATGAGCATTTGGCAAGTAATTTTGATATGTGGATAATTTACATCATTTCAGTCAGGGTAAGTCACTACTGACCGACTGACAGAAGCTATCAATTACGAAACTGTGTACCATATCATATCTAATCAATAATTTAAATGATACACATACTGTTTGTCTTTCTGCCCTTGTTTCTGTCTCTAGGGGCTCTTGGCGTAACCTGGGTGAAGAATTACTGTAAATATTTCAAGGACAACAAGTTATTTATTATGGTGCCAATGGAACAGAAGGCGGGAATCAAACAGGTGGGGGATTATTATTGATTAGGTCTTTGAATGTCAGTGCTTTCTTCTAACATTTGCCTTTTTGTTCTCTTAGACCACAGCTCAACTCACACTGAAGTCCTGCATACGGCGTAAAACTGACTCCACCGATAAACGCTTCTGCTTTGACATTGAGACCAGTGAAAGGTGCGGCTCTTTTCTGTAATATCAACTTATTCTCAGGGCGGTTTCTTCACTTTGCTGAATGCATTTTGAATGAAAGTTTTCAAAGGAAACGAAGAGGCAGTAAACTGAACAGTTTACATTTTTTTTGTTAAAGCACTAACATGATTAAAAATCTTTCATAAAAACATGTTTTCCTCTTGAAAGTGTGTGCAAGGGGTCTTAAAAAGCATTTAAAAGTGATCAATTTAGAGAAAATTAAGACCCGTAAAAGTATTAAAATTATACAATTAATGTTTGTATCATCTTTGTATTATACATATATATATATATATATATATATATATATATATATATATATATATATATATATATATATATTTGTTTAAATATATTGCATGCTGAAGGTATGTCTTTTGTTTATGGAATCCCACTAAATTAACATCATCTATTATACCATTGCTTGACTGCTGATTGATAGAGCAGTTCTCTTTATGCCAAGATGTTAAACAACATTGTTTACTTATGGAGAAATGCTAGTTTTCATGTAAAGGGTTAGAGGATAACTCGTTAGAGCCATTTTTAAATTCAACCACCAGGCATGAAAAAATTTGAAATAACTAAACCGCTGTATGTTTATAAATAAATTTGTTGTATTCGAATGGTGTCTAAAGTTTAATCCATTTAAAGGTCAGGGTGTTTGCTGAAGCCCCACATACAGAGCACAATAATTATGTTTATTGGTCAAATTCTTGTTTCTGATTCTCTTTCTAACCTTACATTGGGTTAGTCAATTGATTAATGTTCTTTTACTTCCTATCCTTCTCAATTATCTTACATCGATAAGGAGTTATCACAAACTATTGTTTATTTGTGTTGTTTTACAATGAAAATACAATAAATGTTAATTCAAATTCCTAAAAGTCTTTAAAAGGCTGAAAATGTATGAAAACAAAAAAGACACTTTATTTATTCCATTGTAGTTTGTCTAAATGGTTTGTTCACGTCAGAATTATAATTTTGACATAAATTACTCATTATCATGTAAACATTTATTCATCTTCATTCACAAATCAAGGCATTTTAAAATAAATCTAAAATCCTCTGAAGATCGTTTAAAAATTGAAATGATGATCAGATTCATTTTGGTTTTAAATCACACAGAAACATTGATCAGCAAACGGAAACATAAAACTCAACCATACCTGCTTCTCACGAATCAACCAAGCATGCCAGACCTTTTGTGACCATTTTTGAATGCTGTAAGCATTGTTCACAGATTTATTTTTGTATGTAAAAATTCTAAATGAAATCTATTCATCTCATAAAGTGATTATTTCTCTTCAGAGGATCCTCAAATCATATAGTTTTCAAAACTATATCTTTAACATTTTTGATCACTATATACAGTTGAAGTCAGAATTATTAGCCCCCTTTAGATTTTGATTTTCTTTTTTAAATATTTCCCAAATGATGTTTAACAGAGCAATGAAATGTTCACAGTCTGTCTGATAATTTTTTTTCTTTTGGAAAAAGTCTTATTTGTTTTATTTCAGCTAGAAAAAAAGCAGTTATTAATTTTTAAAAAACATTTTTGGGACAAAATTATTAGCCCCTTAAAGCTAATTTTTTCCCCCCGATAATCTACAGAACAAACTATTATGCTCAGAAATGTGCTGAAACAATCTTCCCTCCATTAAACAAAAATTGGGGAAAAAAATAAACAGGGGCGCTAATAATTCTGACTTCAACTGTATATTTTCTTTGTGTTTTTTGTGCATTAATGGATTGAAATGTACAAAAAGAAAGTAAAG